CAGCAGATGGCCTCATTGTGGATTCCAAGGTCTTCCAAGGTCCTATACAAAGAAGAATAGTGAAGATCAGAAGAAGTTTGAGGTAATCAGTCCCACAGGCTGGAGTCGATGTAATCAATCCATCAATCTTGAAAAGAATACAACATATGCGCGAAGAAGTGACTTATATACTGTAGGCAGGTGAGGTGATGGACTGATTACATCGACTCCGGGTTGAGGGACTGATTACCTCAACGCCTTCTGATCTTCACCATTCTTCTTTGTATAGGACTGATGAAGCCACTGTGTGGCGAAACATTTCCTCAAAGTTACCCAAGTGTTGCACATGTGTTTAATTTATCAACTACTTTGATGATAATACTAGAGACAGAAAATGTTAAGAGGAAGTTTTGAGGTAATTAATCTGTCTGCCTTAATAAAATGATGGTCAGTCATGAAACCAGGAGTATATACACTATACTTCTCTTGGAAGTGAAGTGTAGTTTGAGGTGACGTTACAGGTGAGCGGGGCCAACTTGTAAAAAGAAGTCATGCTAAGCATTTGTTAGCGATAAAGTTGTACAAGGCATCCACTGGAATCGCTAGTCGAAGACCAGCGATGCCAGTGACTGATGAAGAAGAGTTACTGGATATTCTGATGGGCTGGTTAAATTGCTTAGTCACATTACATGCCACGTTATTGACCAATAAAAAAGATTTAACGGCGTCTTCCTGTTATGTTTGTGTATGCTCTCCTGAGTATATACGTGTTACGCTTCCTACACTCTCACAAAGTGAGGGAGGTTATTGTGGCGAGTTGAAAGCAAGAGTAATTTACCTACTCCTCTTCTAAGAACTGTGGACTGGAGATACTGAATGGTCTGAGAAAGAAGCCTCTTACTAATCTTCATTTTCTGACGTCGTGGTGGGAGTAGAAATGTAATAGATAATTTTTGTAAGCAGGTTTGCGATAAACTTTGACCGAGATTCTGTTTTCACCCATGTTTAGTAATATATCTAGAAAGGCAGCTGGTTGTCCTTTTCTCCTGCTAGTGTTAATTTAAAAAAAATGATTATATATTGCTTATGAAGTCGAGGATATGCAAGTTGACATCTGTGGAGATGACAAATTTTTTAAATAAACTCTAGAGAGAAAACACAACCAGTGACCTTTTTCTAGATATACTACAAAACATGGCTGAAAATAGAGTCTAGGTCAAAGTTTATCGCAAACCTACATACGAAAATGATTATTACATTTCTACTCCCACCACAATGTCAAGATGTAAATAGTAGTAGTCAGAGGCTTCTTTCTCAGAGCCTTCAGAATCTCCGGTCCACAGTTCTTAGAAGAGGAGTCCACAGTTACCTAGATTGACCTCACCACAATTCTAGATTGCTCATGAAATCGAGGATATCAAGCAAGTCGACATCTTTGAGCATGACTAACATATCTTCTAAGTAAAATTGATTGATCTATGGATAATATCTAAGATGCGGCTAGATTTCAAATCCTTCATGAGCACGTTGACCAAGATTACGCTGAGGGGGAAGCCCAGAGCTTCCCAAAACAGTTGTTTGTATTTATTACCTTCGAAGCTGAAGAAGTTATAACTAACTTTCATTACTTTGTAAACAATTGAATCAGTTCTATATAATTGTAATGTAAGCTTAATTCTGTTGTAATTCAATAACTTATTATATCACTTTATTTTGGATAATTCATGCTGTAATTACAGCTTAACTAATATATTATAATTTAAGAGTTTTAACACCACTGTAATATAGTTTAAAATTTTGATAATGGATGAAGAAGCATTCGAAAGGTCAATAAAATATATGTATAATATATGTATTATATATATATACATATATATATTATATATATATATATATATTATATATATATATATATATATAAATATATATATATATATATATATTTATATATATATATATATATATGTCGTGCCGAATAGGCAGAACTTGCGATCTTGGCTTAAATAGCAACGCTCATCTTGCCATATAGGACAAGTGAAAATTTGTGTATGCAATAATTTCGCCAAAATCATTCTGAACCTAATGAAAAATATATATTTCACTGTATTTGTTTAGTACTAAATTATTGTAAACGTATTTAAAACATATTTAGTTGGGTTAGGCTAAAATAAATTGCTGTTGTTATAATAAGGTTAGGTAAGTTTTCTAAGATTCTTTTGGAGCAAAATTAAAAATTTTTACATTAACATTAATGAAAGATATATATCTTTAAACGTATAAGAGAAAATTTTAGAAAGGACTTAATTTTAAATGAGTTCTTGCTAATTGGCCAGTTTTACATATTCGGCACGACATATATATATATATATATATATATATATATATATATATATATATATAATATATATATCATACTGTAAACTGTCATGAATGCTTAGAACCGATCCTTGAGCCAGTGCCATTTAGACAAAGTCATTAAAATTCTTCTCAGCTACATTATTGATGACAAGGGTGAAGCCACCAGATGTTACTAACCCTTTTTTTTAGAAGAAAATCGAATATTAAGAATACGAGGATGTAATAAATCTTGGGTTTATGAAAGGAGGCACACTGAGCATAGGAAAGGTTTGAAGGAAGTGTGAAGGAGGTACTGCCATGTAGGGGCGTTTGCATCCAGAAGGAATGTGTAGTGTTGTGGTGAGGCAAGAAGGAAAACTAGCCCTGGAAACCTGAAATGGGCGCTAATTTAGTTATGGAGGATACCTTTAATGGAGCCCTTTCTATTATTGGACCTTGTCGCTTCAGATACTTTAAAATGCTCGAAATGAACAAGATCCATCAACCGAAACGTTTTTCATAAAAGTTTCTTTCATGGTCTTTTGGGATTTTTTGGGATATGAGATCGGTAAGTTCTCTTAAACAGTCTCTCTCTCGCCACAAGCGATCGCAGGGTTGAAACAGCAACAACCTGCACTGAACAACTCATATGAATTTAACACCTCATATTGTCGCCATATAATAATACCACCAGTAATAATCATAGTTTAAAGTGCTGCAAGAGGGCGAGAGTTATATCTATGAAGATATTCACAAAAGTTTAGTTTTTGAGGGAGCAGTGCAGTATCTGTCTTTTATTAATATATAGAAGGATGTGGTGGTTCAGTTCTCAGTAGTAGTACCAGTTCCTAGTAACCAGTTACCAGTAAACAGTGTACCAGTAGATGACTCACTACCAACCGTCTCTGCGTGAATCACTGACTGTATTCATATTGCTGCTGACCATAGCAGGATTTCAAACACCCCCTCACATAAGCACTGTGGGTCAGTTAGTCTTACGATAGAGAGCAGAGAGGCAGGACGGCGGTTGGCGCCTTCACACACATTCCGTTATATTATACGTACTACCAGCCTACGTGAGTATTTTTACCCTATCCACGTTTTCGAAACCCACATGACACAGTTGGCCATCATTGGATTACATGTCTATAATGTTATGTCAAAACAGCTGGGCTCAAGTAATGGCCAATGCATTTTCTTCTATCCTAGAGGGACTAGTACCGAACTTGCACACGAAAATCACTCACTACGAAAGCAAAAGACTTGGCAGACGATGCAACTTCCCCCCAATGAAAAGCAGGGGTGTCACTAGCACGTTAAGAGACCATACAATAAGTGTCAGGGGCCCGAGACTGTTCAACTGCCTCCTAGCATACATAAGGGGGATTACCAATAGACCCCTGGCAGTCTTCAAGCTGGCACTGGACAAGCACCTAAAGTCGGTACCTGACCAGCCGGGCTGTGGCTCGTACGTTGGTTTGCGTGCAGCCAGCAGTAACAGCCTGGTTGATCAAGCTCTGATCCACCAGGAGGCCTGGTCACAGACCGGGCCGCGGGGGCGTTGACCCCCGGAAATCTCTCCAGGTAAATTCCAGGTAATCCCTGTCTTGGTAGGAAACAGCTGTGTAAAAATAATCGGATAACTTACACACAAACACATACATGAGGGCGATGTGAAAACTTATGCAATAATCACAGTCAGAATTTAAGTTTTCAAATTATTAAAAAAAGAACATACAGAACTGTAATGTCCATAGTATGCACAGAATTTCAGGTAAATGAAAAATAAGAATGCAGAGGTCTGGACGATTCACCCCATGCGTGCGTGTGACCCGGAGAATGTCATCAGTGTGTGGCTGGTGACCTTAATGCACTGAGGGATGTGGTCATATTGCGACACTGTGCTAGGGCGACCGCTTGGCAGCCTCACGGTCAACAGGGAACAGCTTGAAGAGGCCAAGAACTAGATGATGCGGGAAGGGAAGGGAAGGGGAGGAGTCAGCAGGTATATAACGGGTGCAGCTGGATCACCACCACAGTCCATCCCAGACATCACAAGCAATATGTTCTCGGTAAGACCTGCTGTCTCTGGATGGTCTTAGGCTGGCCACTCTGAGGCACATAGATGCATTGTTAAGTTGCGTCTACAACAATAGACTTTTACATTTTCCCTAATTTCTTCAACATTAAATTCGTTTTGAACCTGTTTCTGTTTGTCGACCACTATAGCCGATACAAAGACACGTGTTAGAGAAACTCTTGTTTACAACACCTGTTGCAGGTGTTACACTTTAGCTCTTTCAAGCTACAGTTAATCCAGCTGTAGCTGTTATGGTAACTTTTAAACAGCAACTCTTGTATAGCATAGTAACTCTTGCTTACTAGAGCTGATCATCTGCCAGATACTGCATACAAAATTGGGTCTTCTGCTGAACAGGTTGGCAAAATTTCTAGTAAGAAACTTCTTGAACTTCGATTAAACTTATAAAGTGCCATTAACTCAAGTATTATAGCAACAAGACATAAAATGTGCTTTATATAGCAATAATTTGTGCATGAAAACTGCACACCAAAAAATTTCATATGAAAATACCTTAATAAATATTCATTGAGGGAAGAGAGGTCATGTTAGGTTGCTGACAAAGTTTTGGTAAAGCAAAAAATTAATCGCCTTTCCCCTTATACATATAAACATATTTCTGCGTTACTAGAACACCCTTGGAAAGAATTCACTGCTCATTACTATCTATACTGATCACATGTACTTTCAGAAGTTGGTCCTGTGTGTCATGGTGGCAGTAGTGGCCGCGGCGCCACAGGGATACGGTCCACCTCCACGTCCCTCCTACAGCGCCCCCGCAGGTGCTGTAGTTCCCATCCTGAAGGATGATCGTCAGGGACCTGACCAGGCCGGCAACTATAACTTCAACTTCGAGACTGGTGATGGCATCAGTCGTCAGGAACAGGGCGCCCCCCAGGGCCCAGCTGGTGCCGTGGCAGCCCAGGGAGGATGGTCGTGAGTATCTTGCTGAAAACAATCCTAGGCAAATTGTAGAGACTACATGGAATTTTCAGGTAGCAATTATTTTGTAGAATAAAGACTATTTTTACAATAAACAGATTAACTTTCACAAATCTCAATTATAAGTAGTCTAGCTATCAAATACACAGTCCATAGTATATCCAGTATCAAGACTCTGTACGTCCATGTTCTTGCAGGTTCACCTTCCCCGACGGCAGTCCAGGAGTCTTCAAGTTCGTTGCTGACGGTGCAGGTTACCGCGTCGAGTCTCCACTGCTGCCCACGCCCCATCCTCTCCCAGCCCACGCCATCGCCCAGATCGAGTTTGCCCGTCAGCAAGAAGCTGCTGGTCCCAGACCCACGTACGGCGCTCCTGCCAGACCAGGATACAACTAAACGATGACTACCACACACACGTCCCTTCTTAATCCACTGTCTTGTCCTCCCATCCTAAGTAAATAAACAATATTGTCAGCAGCATGCTGACGCTATCTTGAATAAGATGTACAAAGTTATGACATTTGGTTGTTTTTAGGAGTTGCATCCAGGGTCACCTTATGGTCCCTGTTTGCTCCACAAGGACAATAGTGTTGATCACTAATAGAACACAGTGAATGCATGCTTATTTATTAGTTTTTGTTGATACTGTACATTACTGTCAATAAAAATAACAGATTTGCTGTTTTCTCCAGTAACCAAAAATACTCGTTCTTTGTGTGTGACATCTGGGACAGTATTAAGAGGTATATACTGTTTCGTCATGCACGTTCCTAGTAAATTATATCTGGTGCAGTATTAAGAGGCGTGTACTGTCTGGTCACGCACGATCCTAGTAAATTATATCTGGTGCAGTATTAAGAGGTATATACTGTCTGGTCATGCACGTTCCTTGTGACTGACATCTGGTGCAGTATTAAGAGGTGTATACTGTCTGGTCATGCAGTCCTTTGTGATGACATCTGGTGCAGTATTAAGAGGTGTTACGTCTGGTCCATGCATTTTCCCTTTTACTGACATCTGTTGCCAGTTTTAAGAGGTGAAAATGTGGCAGCACTTCCTTTGACTGACATCTGGTGCAGTATTAAGAGGTGTATACTGTCTGGTCATGCATGTTCCTTGTGACTGACATCTGGTGCAGTATTAAGAGGTGTATACTGTCTGGTCATGCATGTTCCTTGTGACTGACATCTGGTGCAGTATTATTAAGAAGTGTATACTGTCTGGTCATACGCGTTCCTTGTGACTGACATCTGGGGCGGTATTACATAAATGTGGCCATAACTGATAAAGCATATTAATGAGAAAACTTACATGAACACGAAAACAGAAAGGATAATTTTCTGTATAACAGAACCCCCAACTAAAGTCATCTTTAGCGGATGCATTAAGAGATAGAAAAATGTTTTCTTTTTAACAAGCTGCTTTGTTTATCGTAAGATAAGATTATATATGTAAACATGTTATGTTTTAACTCTAGTAATTTTTTCGATGTTTCAAAAATTTTCTTTCACCTGCCTTCTCTAGTCTCGGCAGGAAGCGGTGTTGGGGACTCGGTGGGAGATTCGTGCTCCTGCAACTGCCTTGTCAGGAGGCAGGTGTGGGGAACTCGCATCACCACACCCACCTAGTCAGGAGTTAGGTGCTCGTAAATGGTACCCATATTTTATAATAAAAAAAGAAGAGCTAAATTAATGGTACCCATAAAGTTTGCATTTATGACATTATTTTGAGTGAGGGAGAGAGACAAACGAACCGGGTTAAGATAATTTTCATAGAATTTCGCCAACTTACTAATTTTACTGCTACTAAAACTGCTGCAATTATCAGTACATCTAATTATATTCAGTGTGGCTCGTGGTCAACTGGTCACCCTGAATAGATTACTGATCATAGTCAGCTTCAGAGTCAATATTTCCAAAGAGTTTATCCAGCCGGTTCTTAAAGGAATGTATTGCTTTTAACTTATATCAGAGGCAGTCTCTTCCAGTGTTCGGCATCTCAAAAAAGGGTTATGGGGTAGGGATAGTAAGGGAATATTTATTGCAAATTTGGGACTTAGGAATATATGACGTCGCTGGTGGTTCAATTGATTTAAAAAAGGATATGAAAGAAAAAATACAAAGCTTGGAGGACTGTAATCTCCGCAGACTATGAGATATAACGTGGGAATTGCAACAGCTGCTGTTTCCATTGGATGCAGTACTACTGGGAAATTCAAAAGAGATGCTGCATAAGTTGGTGCGAAAATTCCAAGAGTTAGTGCAGAAACAAGGACAGTGTTGAAAATTAGCTGAAATACAATGAACAAAGTACTGGAAGAGCTATGAAAGAAAATAGTATGTAGGAAGTGAATATGTTAAGATATTTAGGCAAAGATGTGTTAGCAGATGGTTCTGTGAAGGATGGCGTAATGAGGGGAAGAAATTTGTAGAAGTGATGAGTAATTCCAGGAGAAAAAGATGTGCAACAATAGACTAAAAAAGATGGGAATATGTTAGATACTAGTGGTTGTTACTGTATGTGGGCGAAGCACAATGAAAATACTTAAAAAATTTTTTATAAAGGGGTTAATATGTCGTTTGAATATACTGAGCTGAGTTAGAAACTAGACTGATTATGTGAGTGTATAAATCTGGGTTGGATGGAAGGTGTTGCACCGGAAGTTTAAGGAAAGGCTGGAAAGATGGCATAGAGGAGGTAACGAGATGGAAGTCTTAGCTACTAATGTGCTGCGAGAGTGTTTGATTTGAATGAAGGAAATTTATTTTTGTGATTAAAGATTTAAGGTTGTGTCTAAATTTATGCATAATCATGTCTCAGGGGGAGATTGACCATTCATGAAAATAGGTTAACTTTACACGAGTTTTGGAAGGTAGGAAATAGGTCTGCATTTGACAAGTAAAATGCAACCGAATCAATTTTTAAAGGGTGGACTGGCCAAAAGTTCAAGCGGCGGGTCATCACATGACTTAAGATCCATCCGCGTCAAGACAATTATTCTGTTTCCTGACGAATCTTACCTAACTTAAGTTGACAAGTAGTGTGTAAATCATTTCCTGAATCACAATCTTTGTCATTATGGAAAAAAAACATTATGGGCGCAAGATAATGTACATGATCAATGTATTCAATATTTTTTTCTTTTTTGTTATATTTACTTGAGTTTTATTTACATCTTCTGTCTTTACCTGCTACCGTGGGAGTTCGATTAACAGGTGTTATACATTATATCTTGGTTGTGCAACAGGTGTTGCACTTTTTATCTTGGCTGTGCAATAGGTGTTGCACAGCCCCCCCCCCCCACACACCACAGCTCAAAACAGGATCCTGCAGGAGAGAGCACGACTAAGGGACACACAGAAATACCGGAGGGTGTACCTCGACTGAGGCAGAACACAAGAAGAAAGACAGACTGAAAGAGAGGGTACAAAGATGCAGGGAGGAATGAGAGGCAATGATGGAGATGAGCAGGAAAACCAAGACTCAAGAGGAAGAGCAAACACAACCTCCTTTAGAACTACCCACTGAAAGATCCAAATTACGACAACCCCAATGCAACAAAATCTAAACCAAAACCCACATACTGCACCCTCTGCTCCCCACCCCCACAGCAGCCCCCCAAAGGTTCCTGCTAGGGCTCCCGCTCCCCCAACCCCCCTTTTCTCTATTCAAGTTTGTTGGACTGACCACCGCCCTCAAGGTTGGGGGAAATTATTACCATTCTCCTCCGTTTTTTCAATTCCCCTTTTGTATGGACTGATAAAGGGCCCACTGTGTGGGGGAAAACGTTTCCTCAAAAAAAGATCCCCAAAGGAATACATGTTCTAATTTATCAACTTTGTGGGTTTTCTGAACCATTCACCAAACAGAAAAGAAGTTAAAGGGTTTGGATAAAAATTGGAAAAAACAAATGTAAAGGGTCCCTTTAAAGAATAAAGGAACCATCCCAGACATAATAGTAGTCACAAAAATTTAAAACCTCCCCGGGATAACAGACACAATCTTCCCCCCCCCGGAAAATCAATTCTGAGGAAAGTTAGGAGCAGCAGAGGGGGAGGAGGAGTTCACTGCTCATTAAAAAACCGAGGGGGTTTTTGAGGAAAAGGACGAAATTGGCGAAAGGTTTTCCCCAAAACCCGGTAAAAATTTTTAGTTGGGGGGATAAAAAGGGTTTATTTCTTTTGCAGTGATGTTTTAACCCACCACAGAACGCAGGAGGCCAAGAGAAGAAATAAAGACAGCAAAAAAAATTTTTCAAAGGGGTGGGTGGCCGAAAAGGGGTCCAGGGGTAAGAAAAGAATATTTTATGGGAAATTTTCAATCAAAACAAATTTTTGGGTTGGGGAAAAACCCGGGAGCCACATGGAGGGGTCGAAAAAGGGGAGACCCAAATGATGGATGTGATACTGGAAAACCTCTTTCAACTTTTTAGGAACACTACCAAAAAAAAAGGGGAAAATAAAACCAACAAGACTGGCCCTTTTGTGTTCCCCCAAAGTAAAACGGACTTTGGGGAAAGGGAACATATAAAAGGGGCCCGGGAAAATAGTGTCCGTGGGTCTGAGTTTTGTTTACATAGTAGAGTTACAAGTGGAAGGGGGGTAACAGGAGTAGGATGGAAAAAGCCAAACTACAAAAGGGGGTACTACCAGATAAAGGAACATCCTCAGGGGGGTTCATGGGAAAAGAAATTTGGTAGGAAAGTCGGGAAAACGAAATGAGGGGATTTTCAAAAACAACAAAAATTAAATGGAGAGAGGAAAGGTTTGTTTCCCAAGGGGCAAAGAAATAATGGGAAAAAAACCAAACGACCCCTTATTTTTACCCAGTGGTTTTGGGAGGCAAAAACTAAGTGCACTAGAGAATAGAAAAAAGTATAAAAGACAAAGGACACGGGAAAATAAAGAGATCAGTTGAAGAGCCAGAAATGAGTATGCGCAGATAAGGAGGGACATAGAATCAAAAGTCAAGTCTGATCCGAAGCTTTTGTATAGCCATTTTTAAGTCATAAAAGATTCGGGAAAAGGGGCAAGGAAGACCGGGGGAACAGATTTATGGGGCTAGGGGGCCCAAAAAACTGCAAACCTCACTCAAGAAAAAAGATCTTGGGGCGAGTATAATACCGAGCACATCTGAGGTGCACATCAACCAGATAACTGCTGCAGCATATGGGCGCCTGGCAAACCGGAGAATAGCGTCCCGATCCCTCAGTAAGGAACCTTAAAGATTCTTTTACCCCGTGACTTTAAAGGTCCATACTGGAGAAATCCCGCACTAGTTTGGAACCCCACACCGGGTTTCCAGCACGTCAAGAAATTAGAAAAAAAGGGGAAAAAGCTTCGAAAACAAGGCAAGTTCCGACTAAGAGGAATTTTTTTTAACAAAAAAAGGTTTTAAGGGAAATTCGTCCCTGGCGAAAATGGGGGACAAGGGGGTTGGGGGAGACATGTAACGCATATCAAAATATTTGGGGGGAAAATTGCCCGGGTGGACAGAGATAGAATTTTTCCAGAGATGGGACACAAAAAAAAAGGGGTTACAATGGGGAAGTTGAAGAAAAGTTTGATTTTCCAAAAGAGTTATGGAAGTTTTTTCTTTGCCAGAGTTTTGGGGAAAGTGCAAGTCGGCAATTTGATTGTAGTGGAGGAAGGAAAACCTTTCACAGCTTTAAAAAAAAAAGGGGGGAAAACCCCAAAAGGGAAGCAGGAAAGGACCTAGAAACAAACCCAGTGAAGAGGCGGGGCCAGGAGCCATGTATCGCCCCCGGGCCAACCCAAATATTGGCACACACAAATAAAAACGACCCCTTTGCCCCAAACGCTAAGTTTACGTGCCGACTCCTCGGCACGAAAAAACTGCTTATTTCAGTGGGACTCAAACAGGGGAAAGGGGTTTAAATTAATCCACGAGATATCCACCATTTAGGTCCCTTTGGGGTCACGAGAAAAAAAATGTAGCCAAACTGAATGCGTTTATTTTTTGTAGGATCGCTGGCTGAAGGGGGGAAGGCGATGCGTAAAATTGTGCTGTCTCTGGAGGGGAGTTAAAGCTCTTGGGGTCGAGTCCTGGCCCGCCCCAGTTTTGGGAAATTTTATATATATATTTTTAAATATATATATATATTTATTATAAGATATAATATATTATTAAAATAAAAATATATATATATATATATTTTTTTTTTTTGTGTTTTTTGTGTGTGTGTGTGTGTGTGTCGTGCCGAATAGGTAAAACCAATCCCAAAAGGGAAGAACTCATTTTAAAAAATTAAAATCCTTTTTTAAAAGTTTTCCCCTTAACGGGTTTCAAGATATACATTTTTCATTTAATTTTAAAGTAAAAAAATAATTTTTGGGGGCCAAAATGAATTCTTGTAAAAACCTTTTAAACCCTTAAATTTTAAAAAAGCGCAATTTAATTTTCCTAAACCAAATAAAATAAAATTTTTTTTCAGATAAATTTTCAGTAATTTAATAATAAAAACCCCAAAGAAATATATTTTTTTGCTAGGTTCAGAATTTTTGCGAAATTTTTTGCATACACAAATTTTTGCTTGCCTTTTTTTCGGCAAGAAAGGGCGTTGGGATTTTAAGCCAAAACAGAATTTTACCTTTTCAGCACGACATTTAAATATGAGATACACTACCCAAAAAAATCCGACCCTTTGAATTTTTAAAAATATATTTATCTTTTTAAAAAAAAATAAAATCAAGTGAAGGAAAGTACCTTGGTAAAGTGTTTATACTGGTGCACTTTCTAAGCCAAACCCTTTAAAATTACTCAAATTTGGAAAAAGTACAGGATCAGTGAGAGCTCACACTCATATTAATTTTATAACCGTGGGGCGCAGAGGTGGGGTATTGTGGGAAACAGGTGGGTGGGGGGGAACCCCAAAACCCCACAGGTGGGGGTCCCAAACCCCCGCAACAACTACACGCCCCTTTTTATAGGTTTTGTTCCAGTTTTTTAAGTTCATTGGGGGGCTTGACCCGGAACCAAACCCAAATAAAATTTCGGAAATGGGGACGGCATCAGTTTCCCGGAGCTCTTTAGAGCCCAGTGGTGATGTGACAAACCCCGTAAGGATGATTGTATCTCTGTGAACGGTTTAGATCTCTCGAGACCGCAGAAAATTTTTTGGAAAATAAAATTTATTCAAAATAATTCAAAGAAAAACGAAGTATAGGGGCCGCCCCTACCCTGATAAAATTTCAAACTCTGGGGCTTTTATTTTTTTTTAAAGATTCGCCTTTATTGGGCTTTCTGTCCCCGGAATCTTCAAGTTTTGTTGAGCTTACAGAGCCCGTCTCCCTTGATCCTTCGTCTCCCCCGCTTATAAACCCTCGCTCCCAAAACGGAAATTTACCCCCCACAGGAACTCACCCGTCCCCTAGACCCCCACACCCACTCGTGAAACCACCCAGAATACAAAATAAACCCAAATCGATTTTAATTTCCTTCTTTCCTACCCTAATGCCTTGTCCTTCTCCATGGAGTGACCGATAAGCCATTAACGTATCAAGACTGAGACACTTATGCAACATATAGGAATCTTTATTAAAGAAACGTTTCGCCACACAGTGACTTCATCAGTCCAATACAAAGCATAAAGGTGTAAGGAGAGGAGGAGTTTGAGGTAATCAGTCCCTCAGCTTGGACTCGATGTTTTCAGTCCATCACTCTTGTAGAAATACAGCATAGGGCCGGGGAAGTGGCTTATATACTGTAGGCAGGTGAGTCGAAGCAGGAGGGGGCGGGATCACAGTGGAAACATGTGTTGAAGAATTCCTTGTATCAAGCTCCCATGATGTTGAAGTGTCTGACAGGTGTGATAAATGGTTTAAAAATCGACAAGTTGAAGATTGAGACACTTGTGCAACATATGAGAATCTTTACTGAAGAAACGTTTCGCCGCCACTCCTCTACTTACACCTTTCTCCTTTGTACTGGACTGATGAAGCCACTGTGGCGCGAAACGTTTCTTCAATAAAGATTCCCATATGTTGCACAAGAGTCTCAATCTTCAACTTGTCGATTTTCAAAACCATTTATCACATTAACGTATCAGTTGTAATCAATACAGTATTGCTTTTAATATGAATATTAGTTTAGGGATATATAAATCAGATTAATTTAATCTATAAAATTTGGGAAAAAATTATACTATGCGTGACAGGTTCTTGACACTCCCACCCGCATCATACTGGGACGGGTGTAATGTCGTATGAGAGGTGATACTTCAGCCTTACAAGCCTTCTACTATAAGAAATATAAGAAATCAAGAAAATGCTGGACCTAAACTATTTTCACTGTGATTATTTTGCACATTGTGATACCACCTGTAAATGTTTAACGAAACAGACAAAGATGAAGAATGAGACACTTATGAAACATCTGAGAATCTTTATTGTGGCACAAGTGGATCTTTTATATATCATGTGTGTGTGTGTGTGTGTGTGTGTGTGTGTGTGTGTGTGTGTGTGTGTGTGTGTGTGTATTTTTCATGCAGAGAAAAGGGGGTTAGAATATAAAGTGTGGAGCACGAGAGGCTGATTTTAAATGAGTTTTTAAATGTGGGTGAATGGTGTGAGGGGTGAAGGTGGGAAGGAGGGTGTGAAGGAAATGTAGGAAGGAAGGTATGATGAAGGGAAGGTGGGAAGGAGAGTATGATATAGGAAATGTGGGAAGGAGGGTATGATGAAGGAAAGGTGGGAAGGAAGGTATGATGAAGGAAAGGCGGGAAGGAAGATATGATGGAAGTAATGAGATTCAACACCTTGAGTTTCCAGAAGATAAGCGTGCACCTATCTCAAGTACACTCATATCACAGAGAGCATTAAGATAAACCCGGCAGAATTACATAACATAATATATTCACCATTTTATAAAAACATAATGAGTGCAACTGATGGTGAAAAGGCTGACCTATATAGATGTACTAACAAACAAAAACACAGACACACCATCACAAGCACATACACGCGCAAAGACAATACCAAAACACCTTTCAGTTAAGAGGAAAATACAAAGACAGGACGATTATTCCCAGACTTGCCGCTGACCCGTAGAATGTTGTGTGTGACTTATGACCTTAATACACTGAGGGATGTGGTCATGTTACGACACTGAGCTGGGGAGACCACTAGACAACCTCACGGTCAACGGGAACAAGTCGAAGAGGACGAGAACTAGATTATGCCAGGAAGGAAAGGGGTGGAGCCAGCAGGTATATAACGGGTGCAGCTGAAGCATCACCACAGTCCATCCCCAGACATAACAAGCAACATGTTCTCGGTAAGAACTGGTGCCCTCTGGATGGTCCTAGGCTGGTCACTCTGAGGTACAGAGCCTAAGAGGGCACCTACTAGATAATGTCTCTTTAATGTGATGTCTACGAGATAATGTCCGTCTTTTTATTTATATTTTAATATTCTCACTCTGCCTCATGCTGTAAATGCTACTGTAGCTATTACACAGTAACTGTTTACTGCTACACTGTAATGATTTAGTAACACTGGAGGTATAAAGTCTAATGCACACATATGTAAACGAAATTTTTACATAACACTTAATATTTTTCCTCGGTATTTATTCACATTTACGATATCAGTTACACTTAAACTGCAACACAACAATAACACTCAAGCATTGCAAACATCATGATAATAACACATGAACGAATATCCAACACAGGTGGAGTGTCCTTGCGAAGGTCGGGCAAGAAAGTTCAACACACTCACAGCTTTTTGCTTTTGTTCTTGTTTCCGAGACAAACAATTTTAGTTAAAACATCATTATATTCACAAAGCAGCATATTATTATTATTATTATTATTATTATTATTATTATTATTATTATAAACAAATAAAGAGCTAAACCGACAAGGTTCATACAGTATTAAATAAACTTTTCAACGGTTTAATTTATTACATTTTCTATCGTATTTTTATAATATACATTCGACAAATGATCGCAAGACGACTCGGATCGCACGAACACAGTGTATAGACATTCAACCACGTTGATTACATGTACTTTCAGAAGTTGGTCCTGTGTGTCATGGTGGCAGTAGTGGCCGCGGCGCCACAGGGATACGGTCCACCTCCACGTCCCTCCTACAGCGCCCCCGCAGGTGCTGTAGTTCCCATCCTGAAGGATGATCGTCAGGGACCTGACCAGGCCGGCAACTATAACTTCAACTTCGAGACTGGTGATGGCATCAGTCGTCAGGAACAGGGCGCCCCCCAGGGCCCAGCTGGTGCCGTGGCAGCCCAGGGAGGATGGTCGTGAGTATCTGGCTAAAATTAATCGTAGATAATCTTCTGAGCCTGCGGGAAAGTTCCAGGTAGTAACCCTCTGTAAAATATAGAACACCGATATATATATAGTCCACTAATTCATCTTTTTAAAATAGACTCAAATATAATTTTTCTTGTAGGTTCACCTTCCCCGACGGCAGTCAAGGAGTCTTTAAGTTCGTGGCTGACGGTGAAGGCTACCGCGCTGAGTCTCCACTGATCCATCCTCTCCCTCCCCACGCCATTGCTCAGATTGAGAAGGCTCGTCTGGAGGACGCTGCAGGTCCCAAACCCACCTACGGCGCTCCTTCCAGACCAGGATACAACTAATCTACAACATATATCTTCCACACCGGCTAAGTGGTTCTCCAATACAAAGTGACACAAAATAAAGTATTACCCTATTAGCAAGACCTGCTGATGATGGTTTGAGTGAGATGCACCAAGTTATAACATATGGTGGTTCCCAACAGTTTCATGTCGGAGGCAGCAACAATATGGCTTTCTACGCCACCTAAAATGTAAAATGAGTTTTCTATTTTATTTTGATTCACTTTTAGGACTCGCATCCGTTGTACTCCACAATTCTTGCTTGTCCTCACAGGACAGTAGAGAAGATTATTATTGATAGAGTACAGACTATATCATTATTTATTTCATACTCATGATATTAAAGTATTTTTCTCAATAAATATGAAAGAGATTTGTTGTTTTCCCGCCACCTGAGACAGACACTCCAAAAGGCAAATCCCGCCTCTCCTCTTGGAGTTGTTTACTCTTCTGATTCACCATTACAAAAATGTAGCCGCAATTTTTTTTAGTTTTATAAGAAAGAAAAAGTGTGTTTAACTACCTAGTTGCAAATACCAAGTCGAGTTTCCGAATTTGGAGCTCAAGCTGCAATTTAATGCTTAAGAAACATATGTTATCTGCAATCGAACGTGATATTTTACTTTTTGTCAGTATCTCTGGAATTTTTTAAAGATATTTTGTACGTGATTATATTTCTTCTCTGTCCATTCTAGTGTCGCGAGACCAAGTTCATGTCCATATTTGTTTCCCATTCTTTCTGTTACCTCCTCCAATTTTACAGAAGAATAACCTGTAGCTTTATGAAAGCCAATACAATACCTACGCTAACTACACAAATTTCAGCACCATGTGGTGAACTATAATTAAATATGAAATTCCACTTGAAATCTCATCGTTTTATGTTGATGTAGCGCTGTATTACAGACTCCTTCCACCGTCCCCATTCTTGTAGTATCGTGACGTCTTGGAACTTGAGGCTTTCAGTCACCCCCTCCACAGATTAAAATTAAGTCACTAGAGCTTTTGGTCATCTAACTGAGGCCTTCCGCTGGCTTACCCCTCCACCCCTTTAAAAATTAATTTTAATCTGTGGAGGGGGTGACTGAAAGCCTCAAGTTCCAAGACGTCACGATACTACAAGAATGGGGACGGTGGAAGGAGTCTGTAATACAGCGCTACATCAACATAAAACGATGAGATTTCAAGTGGAATTTCATATTTAATTATAGTTCACCACATGGTGCTGAAATTTGTGTAGTTAGCGTAGGTATACCCTCAACATGTAGAAAGTGACAGTGGTCACCAGTACCCTCAACATGTAGAAAGTGACAGTGGTCACCAGTACCCTCAACATGTAGAAAGTGACAGTGGTCACCAGTTCACCAAACACGCAAGCCACAAACCTCACCAGTTCACTTTCTAAAACAAAATACTTTTATAGTAGACTTTTAAACTAGTTAGACTACCTATGAGATCTGTCAGGTGTACCAATAGTAAACTTTCATGTATACAATACTGAAACATAAAAAATCCATAAAATTATATATATATATATATATATATATATTTTAAATATATATAAATATATATATATTTTATATAAATATATATAAATATATATATATAAAAAAAGAGAGAGGTTAAGAGAGTGGTGAAGCAATGTAAAAAGAGAGCAAATGAGAGAGTGGGTGAGATGTTATCAACAAATTTTGTTGAAAATAAGAAAAAGTTTTGGAGTGGAATTAACAAGTTAAGGAAGCCTAGAGAACAAATGGATTTGTCAGTTAAAATGGGAGAGGAGAGTTATTAAATGGAGAGTTAGGGTTTTGGGGGAAGATGGGGGGAATATTTTGAGGAATTGTTAAATGTTGATGAAGATGGGGAGGCGTGATTTCGTGTATAGGGCAAGGAGGAATAACATCTTGTAGGAGCCAGTTGTGAGTGTGGGGGAAGTTTGTGAGGCAGTAGGTAAAATGAAAGGGGGTAAGGCACCCGGGGTTGATGGGATAAAGATAGAAATGTTAAAAGCAGGTGGGGAAAATTTTTGGAGGGGTTGGTGCAATTATTTAATAAAGTAGGAAGAGGGAAAGGGTACCTAGGGATTGCAGAGAGCATGCATAGTTTTTTTTGTATAAAGGCAAAGGGGATAAAAGAAGGAAAAAAATTAAGGGGGAAAGTCGCGAGTAACCTGGTAAAGTGTAGGTAGAGTTATTATTGAAAAAATTTAAGAGAAACGGGAATGGGATGAGATAACAAGGGGGTTTTGGGAAAGGTAGGGGGTGTGTGGACCAGGTGTTTACAGGAAACATATAAGAAAACATTTTAATAAGCTAAAGATCTTTGGGGGCTTTTTATGTTTTGGGAAAAGGCTATACGGGGTGGATGGGGGCAATGTGCAGATGTTGCAAGTGTAGGGTGTAGGAGGTGGGTTACGAAAGCAGAAAGTTTTATGAGGATATGAGGCTAAAGTTAGAAAAGTAGAAAGAGGGAAATTATTTCCCTAAAAGTCCTTAGCAAGGATGTGTGATGTCACGTGGTTTTTTAAAATATATTTATAGATGGGGTTGAAGAAAATAAATGCGGGGTCTTGCAAGAGGCGTGGAGTTAAAAGATAAAAATCACACAAAAAGTGGGGAGTTGTCACAGCTGCTCTTTGCTGATGACACTGTGCTCTTTTGGAATTCTAAGAGAATTGCAGAATTGGGGGTGAATTTGGGAGGGGGGGTGCAAAAAAAAAAATTAAAAGGAAAACAGGAAAGGATAACAAAAAATAGGATGAAAGATTGAATATCAATGGAGGGGAGAAATAGAGGGGGAAGATTCAAAAATTTTTGGGGGGGACTTCAGCGGATGGGGGCATGAAAGATAGGGTGAATCATAGAATTGATGAGGGAAAAAAGTGAGTGGGGCACTTTGGAGTCTGTTGGAGACAAAGAACTTTGTCCTTGGAGGCAAAGAGGGAATGTATGAGAGTATAGTTTTACCAACGCTCTTATATGGGTGAAGCATGGGTGATGAATGTTGCAGCGAGGAGAAGGCTGGAGGCAGTGGAGATGTCATGTCTGAGGGCAATGTGTGGTGTGAATATAATCAGAGAATTCGTAGTTTGGAAGTTAGGAGGAGGTGCGGGATTACCAAAACTGTTGTCCAGAGGCTGAGGAAGGTTTGTTGAGGTGGTTCGGACATGTGGAGAGAATGGAGCGAAACAGAATGACTTCAAGAGTGTATCAGTCTGTAGTGGAAGGAAGGCGGGGTAGGGTCGGCCTAGGAAAGGTTGGAGGGAGGGGTTAAGGAGGTTTTGTGTGCGAGGGGCTTGGACTTCCAGCAGGTATGCATGAGCGTGTTTGATAGGAGTGAATGGAGACAAATGGTTTTTAATACTTGACGTGCTGTTGGAGTGTGAGCAAAGTAACATTTATGAAGGGGTTCAGGGAAACCGGCAGGCCGGACTTGAGTCCTGGAGATGGGAAGTACAGTGCCTGCACTCTGAAGGAGGGGTGTTAATGTTGCAGTTTAAAAACTGTAGTGTAAAGTACCCTTCCTGGCAAGACAGTGATGGAGTGAATGATGGTGAAAGTTTTTCTTTTTCGGCTACCCTGCCTTGGTGGGAATCGGCCAGTGTGATAAAATATATATATATATAAATATATATATATATATATATAATATATATATAATTATATATATATATATATATATATATATCCAGCACTGAAAAAACAACTGCCATCATAAAAAGTTGTGTAATCTGCAGCAAGAATAACAAGGGAAGTCTCGCTTGGGTTGCATGCAATCTCTGGGGGAAAAAGGTCCCATGGAATGTGTAGAGACTATCACCAATCGGTAACTAATGATATTAAATCAGGAAAATGTTTTTGGGTCTGCCCAAGTAAGAGACACCTATAGGAGAAAATTACATTTATACTAAAAGACAGGAACGCCAACAAAAAAAAATATCCTTCTTAGAAAACTTGACAGTCTTGTATATCAGTTGGGAAATAAAAGGAATGGGTCAGAGGGGGCTGTCACCCCCGGTGCTGGTGCTGCCTTGGAGGACAGTGCCTGTAAAAATACAGAAATGAGAGACAGTGCACCAGTTGGTGCTGGTTCTGTCTTGGAGGACAATACTTGTAAAAATACAGAAATGAAAGACAGTGCACCAGATGGAGATAGTGGTCCTGGCGACGAAACAGGTAAAGAAAAAGATATACGAATTCCAGTTACAAAGTAACAATACTGCTGGAGATGGCAAAAAGGGGATGATGTTTCAGAGAACAGTGTTTATACATTACCAGTAAAAACGGGTGGAGGCACTGATGTTACTACAGGGGCTGTAGATAGTGGGAAGTAAGAAGAAAATACACCAGTAGGTAACAAAGCCACAAAAAATCCTAGGAAACAGAAACCAAATCTACGCAAATTCTGTGCCTTCGGTATTTGCAGGCATGGAATTTTTGGTGCAGTTTTGACCATCCTAAAAAATGCCGCGCCCACATGACCAAAGGAAACTGCAACTCTTCTTATAATTTATTTCACCCATGAAAGACAATGATACAACACATACTGTCAAGCACACCATCTAAAGGGAACAACAAGATACAGATCACTCAGATCATGGAAAACAAACCAAGGTAGCTACAACCACTTAAGAGATGGAAGTGTTTTAGTGTCAGGAAGAACAACAGGTATTAGTGCCAGCAAACAAAGCTCCCCTACATACCATCAATAAGACATTTAACTTCGCAAATATACAGGGTCAAAAACCATCAACAAACAACAAAATACCTTTCATCAGTGGACTGCTCACAGAGTCAAATGCAATGTTTGTGGCTTTCACAGAGACCCACATAAAGGTTCCCTTTCACAACGAAATATGTATCCCAGGTTATAACCTATTCAGATGCGACAGAGCAAACAGGCAACAAGAGGATGTTGGCTTGTATGTCACAGAGTCGCTCATTTGCTCAGAACTATTAAACACCTAAAATGATGTAGTTGAAGATTTGGTAGTAAAGATCGAAAAACAAAGCCTTGTCATTGTGGTTGTATACAAACCTCCGGATGCTACTTCCCAACAATTCCAGGAACAGCTCTGGAAAATAGACCACTGTCTGGAAACTCTCCCAACTCCTGCTCCAAACATCTTGCTCCCGGGTGATCTCAACTTAAGACACTTAAAATGAAGGACTGTAGCAAATAATATTTTAACAGAGATAACCCCAGGAGGAAGTTCAGATGAAAATTCACACACACACACACACACACACACACACACACACACACACACACACACACACCACACACACACACACACACACACACAAGCTATCAAATCTCTACAACAAATTAATTTTAAACCAGCAAATAATGGAGCCAACAAGACTGGAAAATACACTAGACCTCATCTTCACTAACAATGACGATCTGATACGAAATATAATAGCATCAAAGACATTACACTCAGATCATAACATGATAGAAATACAGACATGTTTGCGCAGGGCTCCTGACCAGCAAAAGGTGATCAATTATGAGGGGTGTTGTCATTAAATTCAACTTCATTAACAAAAACACAC